AAACGAACATGACACATCGTCACCAGGCTATGTTTCACTATTCTTGACTTTTCCCCCTGTAGAGGGACACGCCCGACTGAAAGCGTGGGAAGAACTGAGGGAGACAAACCGACAAACGACAACATGCATCATCTTTGGTGGCTTATTCATGGTGTAGAATCATGACTCGACTCGGCTCGAATTACCGTGAGCACCGTCCGTATGAGTGGTGGAGCATGCTCTGTGCACGTTCTACGCTGACCAGAAGCGTCGACGAACAATGACGCGTGACGATAGTCGCAGGACGTCTGGCGCGGCGCGGTGCGTGGAGGGGAACGAGGAGAAGCACAAGTATAGTCGGAGGGGACTGGGACGGTCTGAGTGGTGGTTAAGGAAAGAGGCGCCGGGGCGGATGGAAGAGGGGAATGTCTGTTGATGGGGCGCACCGCTTTCTCTCCCGCCCCGTGGCTTGGACAATGTTCTGGCGTATTGGTGAAAAGGCGGATGAACTGCACATCCCCTTTCCTGCCCCCGCCCAGAGCTGGTGAGTGAATTCGCCTCCCAACGGGCCAGAGACGTGCTGAAGTCTCGGGTAAGAGTTAAGAATGTTTCTAATTCGCGCGCGCGTGGCGGCCCCTAGGGTTAGGTTGGGCATGTCCTTCTACAGGCGGCTGTTGGAGGAACAATGAAACATACTCAAAACAGATGCTCACACATAGTAAAAAACAAACATCGACGAGGCGCTAAATGGGTGGCAGGCCCCACGGCTTCAGGCCAAGAGCGTTCCGAAATGGACCACGTTGGTCCCAATACGGCGCAAGAAGCGAACAGGAGGGTTCCAAGAGAATTTCGATTTCCCCGAAAACGATCATGAATTTTGCATAGGTTTTCGGAGGATATTAGCGGCACCGCCTTCTCGAGCTGCCGACCGCCCTGGACGACCCAAGAGGCCCCAAGATCGTTCCAAGACGGCCCAAAAAGCCTCCAAGAGAGCCCCCGAATGGCCCAAGATGGCCCTAAGACGACCCAAGAGGCCTCAAGACGGTCCCAGGATGGCCCCACGAGGGGGTCCAGAGGGGAAACCCGAACGGACTTTTCGAGCTCTCGGCCCCAAGAGGCGCCCAGGAAGCTCCGAGGGGCCTCCAAGAGCCTCCCAAAGAGGCCCCCAAGACCCCCAACAGGAGCCCAGGAAGCCACAAGAGGTCCCCAAGAGACCCCCAAGAGGCTACCCAGAAGCGTCAAAACTGCTCCCCAGACGATCCCGACAGCCCATCGAAGAGACCCCAAGAAGCACACATGAGGACTCTGACAACCCATGTACGTCTCGAAACTCTGCCGGAGCTCTCTTGAGTCATCTTGGCGCCCTCTGGCAGGGGCAGTCGATCGGCTCTCTTCGACAGGATTGAAGCCACATCTTTAGAGATTTCCTCCAGGATATTCCTGCCTGCCTTACCGTCCCCCCTGGGCACGAGCACACCATCATGCAGTCACAGTGATGCAAGACGGGCCAGCGAAATGAGCGAAGCGATTGACTAGCTGTTGGGCCCACCCCTGCCCCTGAGCCTTCGCAACCCCTCCTGGGGTCCTCCCCGCGGCCCGCTCCTTCCGCGGGCCCGAGGGCCCAAGCTGCGGCCGGGGCGCCCTCTGGACACCACTGCCGTCCTGGAGAGCCCCCCCTCCCACGTGCTGGGCTCCCGGGCGCCACCAGGCCCTCTCAGAGACTTCTCCGGAAGCCTGCACTGGGCCGGGTTGGGGCGCCTCTCGGGGCCCTCTGTCTGAGCTGAGCTTGACGGTCCTTCGGAGCCCCTTGGGCCGTCCAGGATGCCTCCACAGGCAAGCAGCAGCATACAGTCATCGGACTGACCTCAGGAACGATAAGTAAGGAACGAAGCCCTTTGTTCCAGGGAATAACGCAGAAGGAACAAACCATAACACATAACGCATGAGGAACGATAGATAACGCATGCGAGCCTAAGGAACGACCCAGCCCCTTTTGGACAGCAAGTGCTCCTTATTCAACACGGCGGTTATGAAAAGTGTGCTCAACATTCTCTGTTTTCTCCTGCCTCTTCCGCATTCCTCCTCCTCCGCTTCCATCGACCAGTCGACCAGTAATCTGTCGCCCAGCTATGGGCCAGGAAAAATGCAGCGCTACAGCGCCATGTTTCACTATGCTATGGAATGCCATGATACATCATGCTACGCTGTGAAGCGCATTGTCACGATGCAGTATGCATTGCAGTAACATGATATACTCTACAGTGCGCATTGCATGCCATTCCATGCTGTGAAATGCTATGATAATATGTGGGCGCTGAGCCACATCATGCTATGTTTCCTATGAAGAACGATGCTGCTGCGTTGCATGGTATGCACAGACACGGCATGCTAGGCCACGCAATGCAACGCAATGATATGCCATGCTTTAGAAGCAATTTTGGAAGCCTGAAGGTAATTTGGGAGGCCTCTTGACCTCTTGGGGGCCGTGTGTGGTGCTCTTGGGGCGTATTTGCAAGCCTCTTTGGGGCCTCGTGGAACCTATACGGGGCCTCTTGGGCTCTGTCGGGAGCCTCTTGGGGCCTCCTGGGGGCCTTTTGGGGCGGAAGGCCCGGATTGTCGGTTTTGGGGCGCTCTTGGGCGATCTTGGGAGCCTCTTGGGCCGTCTTGGGGCACTCTTGGGCCGTCTTGGGGCTCTCTTGCGCCGTTGTGGCGCCCTCTTTGGGTGCCTTTTGGCCCGTCTTGAACTGATGTATGGGGCCTCGTGGGCTGTCTTGAACCGTCGGAAGCACGAAACAGCGAGAACACGCAAAACGTTCAAAATCCAGCAATAACCCAAGTGTTCCGCCTCCTGAATGCATCGTGGGAATCGTTTTGGGAGCTTCTTGGCCGTCTTGAAGCGCTCTTGGGCTGTGTTCAAGCAATGTTGGATCAATTTTGAAACGCTCTCGTGCGGTGTTGGGCTCTCTTGGAGCGCTCTTGGGCCAGCTTGAGTGCTGGTGGAGGCCTTTGGGGACGTCTCGGAGCATTCTTGGATCTTCTTGGGGCCGTCTTGGGCAGTCTTGAGCGACTCGGGGCCTTCTTGGGCCTTCTCGGGACCCCTTTTGGGGCTAACCTGGGCAGTCTTGGGTAGCCCTTGAGCCGTCTTGGCCCTCCCTTGGGCTGTCTTGAACGCCTCTTGGGAATGGCTCAGGCTCTCTCGGCCAAGTCTTGGGAGCCTCTTGGGCTGTCTTCAAAGCCGTGAAGGCCGAAACATCGCATATGGGAAACATGTACATTGCCTCGTGGGACTCCTCGAAACCTTCTTGGACCGTCTTGGGGCCATCTTGGGCAGTCTTGGTTGACTCGGGGCCTTATTGGGCTATCTTGGGCGCCGTCTTGGGGCCAACTTGGCCGTCTTAGGCGGCCCTTGGGCCGTGCTGGCGCCCTCTTGGGCTGGCTCGGGGGCCTCTTGGGAGCGTCCTGGGCTGTCTTGGGGAAGTCTTGGGAGCCTCTTGGACCGTCTTGAAAGCCGCGAAAGCTGAAAAGTCGTACACGTTACGAATGTACATTTCCCCATGGGAATTTGATGATTTGGGCCTCTTGCGTCCCTCTTGGGAGTGCTCTGGGAGTCCTCCTGGGCCGTATTGGGCAGCTCGGGCCCTTCTTGCAACGTCTTGGGGGCCTCTCGGAACGCTCTTGGCTCGTTTTGGCACCCTCTTGGCCCGGGCCGCCTCTGGGGAGCGAGACGGGAGGGGTATCAGCGGGCTTCCCCCGATGGTTGCGGGGTGGGCCGGCCCAGGCTGGGGGGGGGAGGCTTACTTCCTTATATGATGTAGATGTACACACATGTTTGGCTTCCGGAGGTCCTGCTAGGCGACTATGTGTTGGTGCATGCTGGGCGCCTCTTGGGTGAATTTCGGCATTTCGGGGAACACGTCCAGGCTTCTGCAGATGTATGTTTGTGCCTCTTGGGCCGGTCTTGGGGAGGGGCATCTTACGACCATCCTGGGATGTTCGAGCCGCCTCTGAACCACCCACATTGGGGCGTGAACGGCGTTGGCACGCATTTGTTTGTCAGCGGCGACACGAAAGCCCGAAGCGCAGAGTGGCCACAAGCAGGAAGTAGCAGAGCTAAGCGAAGAACAACACCTAATTATGCGTTCGGCCATGGACCCCTCGTTACCCATCGCTACTGGGCCGTCTTCGGTGGCCTTCGACCGGCTTTCGGCGGCCTTCGGCGGTCTTCTGATGGTCTTCGGCGGTTTCTGGCGGTCTTCGGGGCGAAGACTAAATGGATGGCATGATCGAACATAACACACATGACATGAACATACACTTTCTTGGGTTTCTTGGATCGGGGCTGGACCACCTGGCGCGCAGAGCGCGGCGGGGGCGGCGCTGGAGGCGCCGCAAGGGGACTCCAACGCCGATGCAAGAAGTCCGCGCGGAGCTCCAGAAGTTCGCGTATATGTCGATGTGCCTCTAACTCGTCATGAAGCTTTCCCCTGGCCCTAGCTTGCCCTTCGCTGACTCGGACCCCCAGACATCTGATCCCATATACATGCCCGAAGGAATTCTATGGCAAAAGGATCCGATGGATGTCCAACGGAAGCCTGTGGATGTCCCTAACAATGCAACGGATTTCCCAGATAATCCTGTGGACTTGCTTAAGCATTTCATGCATGTGCTAAGGAATGCCATGATTATCTAAGGAGGAGGAGGAGGAAATGGAGGAGGAGGAGGAGGAGGAGGAGAAGGAGGAGGAGGCAGGAGGAGCATGGCTACAGGAGAACCCAGGACAGCCATGAGTGAGTGAGTGAGTGAGTGAGTGAGTGAGTGAGGCGAGGGAGAAGGAGGAGGAGGAGGAGGCAGGAGAAGGAAAAGAAGGGAGGAGGAGGAGGAGGAGGAGGAGGAGGAGGAAGGAGGAGGAGGGAGGAGGGAGGAGGAGGGAGGAAGGGGGAGGAGGGAAGAGGAACCCCCCTTCGCAGGCGAGCGCGCGCGGCGGCGCCGGCACCCTCTCCCCCCTCCACGGCCCACGAGCGTCGCCAGGGCCCTCGGTGCCGCCCCGGCGGGCCCGACGCCACAGGCACCCGCGCGGCGCCAGCGCCACGCGGAGCTCCGCGGATGTGTGCCTGTGTGGTGTGGGCGACGGTCAGGAGCGGGCCTTGCGTGAGATTCGGCGGCGAGCGAGGGGTAGAAGTGAGAAGGAGGGGGCCTTCTCAGGAGGTTTTGAAGTCCCTCGGCCTTCTGAGAAGTCTTCTAAGCCGTCCCCAGAGACACCGAATACCTCTCAGAAGGCAGGAGGGCTTCTGAGAAGTCCCGCCGCCTTCTGCGAAGGCCTTCTCCTTCTTGATTCCCCCCTTCGCTCGCCGCCGAGAGGTGGTATGCAGGTCAACGTCTTCTTGTCCGGCGTCTCGACCGTGGGCGGGAGGGGGAGGGGGAGGGGGAGGGAAGGAGGAGGAGGAGGAGGAGGAAGGAGGGAGGAGGAGGAAGGAGGGAGGAGGAGGAGGAGAGAGGAGGAGAGGAGGAGGAGGAGGAGGAGGAGGAGGAGGAGGAGGAGGGGAGGAGGGGGAGGAGAGGGGGAGGAGGAGGGGAGGAGGAGGAGGAGGAGGAGGATGAGGAGGAGGAGAGGAGGAGGAGGAGAGGAGGAGGAGGAGGAGGGATGGAGGAGGAGGAGGAGGAGGAGGGGAGGAGGAAGGGGAGGAGGAGGGGAGGAGGAGGAGGAAGGAGGAGGAGGAGGAGGGGGGAGGAGGAGGGAGAGGGGGGAGGGAGAGGGGAGGAGGGGGAGGGGGAGGAGGAGGAGGAGGAGGGGAGGGAGGGAGGAGGAGGAGGAGGAGAGAGGAGGAGAGGAGAAGGGGGAGGGGAGAGGGGGAGAGAGGGGGAGGGGGAGGAGAGGAGGAGGAGGAGGAGGAGGAGGAGGAGGAGGAGGAGAGGAGGAGGAGGGGGAGGAGGAGGAGGGGGGGGGGAAGAGAGGGAGTGGGAGGGGGATGAGGAGGAGAGGAGGAGGAGGAGGAGGAGGAGGAGGAGGAGGAGGATGAGGTGAGGAGGAGGAGGATTGGGGGGTCTGGCTTTGGGCCTCTGCGTCCTGCCACCGTCTGCAGCAGGCGCGGCCCCCTGGGAGGGGCCCCGCCCGCTCTCGAGATACGGGCGGGCCCAGAGGCAAGGCAGCCGAGGTCTGCTCTCCGTCGGGGGGGGGGAGGTGGGCGGGCTGAGGGCCCGCGCCGACCTGAAGGGGCCCTGGGACACACAAAAAATCCACCCTCCCTCCTCCTCCTCCTCCTCCTCCTCCTCCTCCCTCTTCCTCCTCCTCCTCCTCCTCATCATCATCATCATCATCATCCTTCTCCTCCTCCGCCTCCTCCTCCTCCGCCTCCTCCTCCTCCTTCTTCTCCCTCCTCCTCCTCCTCCTTCTCCGCCCTGCTGGCCCTCCTCCTCCGCATGGCCCACGCCTGGCCCTCCTCCTCCTCCGCCTCCTCCTCCGCCACGTCTTCGTTCACCTCCGACGTCTTGTCACGCATCCCGTCACCCTCGAGGGCCGAGGCATCCAGGGTCGGCGGCACTGGCCGTAAGGCCTTAGCAATTGACACAAACAACAAGATCCCCCATATGTGTTCCCCCACACTTCCCGGGTTTTTGTCTTCCCCCCACTGCCCAATTTTTCATACATTTTCGGGGGATCGACGATTACTTGTGTCTGTGTTTTTTCCTCCTGATGATTGGCAATCCAATGAATAAGAAAACGATCACCAGTGGGGGCCCGACCAAAAGAAGCCTTCCACAAGAGATCCAGCCCTGAGACCCCAGGACGTCCACCGATGTTTGGTGTGGGAGCGTCGCGCTGTCCAAAGAAAGCCATCGAAACCCAAGAAACCCATGGCACCCTGGAGGCAAGCAGGGTGTCTCTTAGCATGGGTCTCCACAGTATGTCGTGTGGGCGTCGATTTATATATATATATATATATATATATATATATATTATTTTTCTCTTTTGTAAAATATATAGTAATATGTGTGTGTACATATTAAAATACATGATATATAAACAAATAATTAGATATAAAGGGTCTTGCGCGAGATGCCATAGCGACCTTACGCCGCGGCTCACGCGGGCCGCCAGCGCGGCGCGCTACATTTGAGGGCGCCCACGCGCGACCTCACGTGGGCAACTTACGCACAACTGTCGGTGACAACGGGTCCTCTCTTCTGCATCCCTCTCTCGCTGTTCGTCGAGCTACCTACACCGCGCAGGGGTACTACTGGAAGAGAGGATGAGCGGCCGCGGAGAGAGACAGCCGCCGCGAAGAGAGACAAAGGAGGAACTCGCGCTCAGAGCGTGCAGCACTGCACGCGTGGTGCTGGTCGCCTCAAACCTGGAGACCAGCACGTGGGGGCGCGATGTTCGCGGCATGGCTGTGGAAGGGGCGGGCGCGCTCGGAGAGACACACGAAACCAACAGACACAACTTTGACGTGCATTCCAGCATACCGCCTAGCCTGCCGCGAGCACGGTGGCGGACCTTGCCCGAAGACATCGGTTTGTGAAAGAGAGGGTGGCGAACCCTTGTAGATGACGATCCCCGTATGGCACCTGAACGACGATCAAAGACAGGTCTTACGCGAGATGGCATCGCGACCTTACGCCGCGGCTTGCGCGGGCCGCCAGCGCGGCACGCTGCATTGAAGACGAGAGCGCTTGGGCGCGACCTTACGCGGGCAACTTACGCACGAAGGTCGGCACAATTAAACTCGCTTCTGTCGACGCTCACATGCGAAGTCACAGAACGTGCCTCGTAAGCCAAACGGACCACCAAGGCAAGAATGGTGACCCGCGAACGTGTCTGGAATTCTGGCCCCGGATCGGGGCAGGCGAAGGAGAGACGGGAGCAGCGTTACGATGAAAAGACAAAGGAGTAGGAGGGCCTTCTTATATTATAGGGAACCCACAAAAACGTACGCGCCAAACTATCTACATGAACACGGGCCCTCGATCCGCGAAACCAGCCGCGTGATACGAACATTCGCGCAATGCGTACAGGGCAGTTTTTGATACATAGGATTTTAAGATATATAGGATTTTGAATACATGGTGAATTTATGCATACATTGATGCATGAACTCATCGTTGTTTTTAATACTAACTCCCTGCATTTTCAATACATGATCCGCACGTGGAGCATGTATTGAAAACGGCACTGTAGTCTCGAAGCCAGCGTGGCTTCATGTACGTGTACGTCCTCTTTTCGCTCTTGACATTAACCTCCCTAAGACTCGCCATCCCTCGGACGTCCATTCCCCGTGCATTGTTCGGCTTCGTGCGCGTAGTTCTTCGCACGATGGCCCCCAAAAGGCTCCTCGATGGCCCGCGCCGAGAAGACAAGCTCACGTCCGAACGATGCCACGACGACGGAGCCAAGACGAAGATCAAATTCGGCGAGGATGAATCGAGAATCTCTGAGATGCGGCGGCTCAGGAGGATTTCTCGGGCGCCGCAGCCTTCTGAGAGCGCTCCGGAACGCTCTGAGAGCGTTCCGGAACGCCCCGGAGCAGATTTTTCCTCGTCCTAGCCCCGTCCGGCACCCTCTCCATACCTGGGCCCTCAGCCCAAGGACCTCGTCCGAATCGTCGTCCGCTGCGTCGTCGCACCTGACGGCTTCCTCGGCCTCGGCCTCGCCGAGGAAGCTGCTGCTGCGCGTGCAGGTGCTTCGCCGCAGCCGGGACAGGACCGTCACGGCC